GGCCGTGATTGGCCGAACCTGCCGCGTCAGCAGGTAAATAAACTGGCCCGGCCCGGCCCGCCAGGGTGCTTACCCTGGCGAGCCACGTGCCGAACGTTGCCGACCCCTGATATAGTACCTTGTGATAATTTTTCTGTTAACAGATATTTCTAAATTTGATTTTTTATTATGCAAAGAATCTCTATGTTACACTCTTTGGCAACAAGTCTAGCTAAAAGATAGCTATAGGAAAAAAAATAGATAACTGTTCATTTTTGTGTACTTGTAGCAGGATTTGAATAAGAAAAAAAAATTGAAAGAATTTAATATTTGCTATTCAATTCCTGTATTTTGTCTTTTGAAAAACTATACTCATTAATTTGTAAACTTTAAAAAAAATGAAAAAAGTGACCTGTCTCAGAAAGAAACTCTGAACAACTACAACTTCACCTATAACTGTTGCCTACAGCATTTTTGATCAACAACAAGGATAAGTTTCAGAGTGGTAGCCATGTTAGTCTGTATCAGCAAAAAGAATGAGGAATACTTGTGGCACCTTAGAGACTAACAAATTTATTTGGGCATAAGCTTTCGTGGGTTAAAACCCACTTCATCGGATGCATGCAGTGAAAAATACAGTAGGAAGATATATATACACACAGAGAACATGAAAAAATGGGTGTTGTCATACCAATTATAACGAGACTAATCAGTTAACGTGGGCTATTACCAGCAGGAGAAAAAAAACTTTTGTAGTGATAATCAGGATGGCCCATTTCCAACAGTTGACAAGAAAGTGTGAGTAACAGTAGGGGAAAAAAATTAGCATGGGGAAATAGTTTTACTTTGTGTATGAATAGATACAAAATCCATATTTTCTTTCTGGGAAAATAGGCGCGTAACTTCTCATCACTAGGAATATCACTCCTACAGCTAGTGCGATCAACCATTTGTTAGCAGCTCCTATTCTATAGATAAAAAAATATATACACATACTGTAATAACTACCCAGACAGAAATTCATAAGAACATAAGAATGGCCATACTGGTTCAGACCAAAGGTCCATCTAGCCCAGTATCCTGTCTTCCGACAGTGGCCAATGCCAGGTGCCCCAGAGGGAATGAACAGAACAGGTAATCATCAAGTGATCCATCCCGTGTTGCCCACTCCCAGCTTCTGGCAGTGGAAGTGCCAGAATATATGGTTCTCATGTATGGTGAACAGTAACCATACATCAGGGCCAGCAAATATCTTACATACTTTCTTTTAAATCTCCCTGCTACTATCAAACGAGGCTTGAAGTAAAGTGATTTCAATGTATGCCAATAACCTTTCAGGAACTCTAGAGAATCTTTAAGTATTAACAAGAGTGGAAGAAAATTAGAAAGGTTACCAAGTCTTTATTTAATGGCTGTGTTATTTAAGCTTTATAAAAATTATAATGAAATCAAATCGTATTGAAATAAAAAATCATCATCCAGGAAACCCTGCAGTAACCATCTATTTCAAAAACATACATTTAAAAAAAAATCACAATATGTTTTTGTATAACTGCAGAACAATCTTTACAACTAGACCTGTAAACATCAGAAAACACAAAACAATGCTGTGTAAAGCTCTTCTGGCTTCTAAATTCAGAAAATCTGAAAAAATGCAACTCTCATAGGAACCAGCAAGTAGCAAGGGCTTTCAGGAAACAGTCAATACACCTGACCTAAGATACAATTCTTAGTGTATTCCAAGGTATGATCTGTACTTTCAAAATTATAATGTTTATTTCCCCCCTAAAATTGATAAGACATTCTGCTACTGACATACATTTGTGACACGAACCCTAGAAGTTTCCCAGTTTTATCTGCAGTACATTAGTAATTAGTGGGTACATATTATAAATAGTTTGAAGTTGATGAGGCTGACACTTGCAAGATTAGACTCTTAATTGTAAACAATTTAGCAAACTGAAGAGTGAGACCCCCTATATAAAGATCAGAGTGGAGGGAAGGGACTGAATATATAGAACTATTCTCAGAGTACAGTTTGAACCCTCAGAAGAAGTTTTTCAACCCTCCTTGATTTACCTGGATATCTTGCAGGCAGATTTCATGTGCATCCAAGGAACACTGAAGTCTTGGTTCCAACAACTTCTTAAGATTTCCAACTGGTTCATTGATGTCAATAGCCTGACTCACAAATTCTGCTGTGGTGTACGTCTGCTCAACGATGCTTAAACACCAAAGGATCAAAGAATTTATCATTAACTGAATGTTAACAAAACAGCTTTGAAAATGCACTAGCTGTGTGTTCTCCTATAGTAATAAAAGCTATAGCTAGGTTAAAACAAATTGGAGATAAGCTATGCAAAAGTGAATATTGATGCCAGAAATTTTAATACTTTATTGAAAACCCTACTGAGGGTATGCCTACATAGCCTGCAACAGCAAGCCTCCCAGCCCAGGTCAACAGATTCAAGCTTGCAGCACTCAAGGTAAGGGCTCTAAAAACAGCTGTAGACAGCTCTTTGAAGTTGCAGCTGGGGCTAGAGCCTGACTCTGAAAACTAGGGATAGAGAGGGTGGGGTGATCAGATGTTTTTACTCAATGACACTCTGGTCTTTTTCTCCAAGTGGTTCCATTTAATTTAAATCCAGCAATGTGTGAGTAGTTAGAACTACAAGTCATTTAAAAGACACTCTGATTTGCATGTTTGGACTTGTCTTACATCTCAAACAGCTTGTTGCTATTTCTTAAAACTGGATACCAGCTAATTTTGAATTTAAAAAATCATAATTAAGCAGTTTTTAAGTTATTGATATCTTTTTGTGAATAGTACTTAGATAACTGCAATGTTTCTGAATACGTGCTTTTTGAGATAAGAATTTTAAAAGTTTTTTTTTTTTTTTTTTAATTTGTGCCACTTATCTAGGCTACCATACATCCGGATTTCCCCAGACATGTCCGGCTTTTCGCTCTTTAAATAGCCGTTTGGGGGGGATTGTGCACCTGTGAGGGAACGCGGCGACGGGGCTGGCAGCTGCGGCCAGAGCCCCTCCCCTGCTTCCCCCCTCCTCCACAGCCTTAGCACACCGCCCAGCAGCGCTCGGGCGGGGCCAGACACCTGCTCTAAGCTGAGCAGCACGGTAAGGGGGCCGGGGAGTTGGAGAAGGGGGGCAGTCAGGGGATAGGGAGTGGGGGTGGGGTCGTTGGATGGGTCGGGAGTTCGGGGTGGGGCCGTCAGGGGGGCAGGGCTGTGGAGAGGGGTTGGGACAGTCAGGGACAGGGAGCAGGGGGGTTAGATGGGTTGGGAGTTCTGGGGGGGCCGTCGAGGGAGGCAGGGCTGTGGAGAGGGGTC